ACTCACTATTCTGTACCGGATTTACTTCGGTAGTGGAGGTTTTGTTTTTAGGGCCTCAATCTGTTTACTCCGGTGGAGGTTAGTCGCCCGCTAGAGACTCAGATTGAGAGGGTCTGAAGACCTTTAGTCGAGACTTCAGGCTGTTTAAGGACCTTCCGCAGTATAACTATCATAGAAACTGAACTTGGTAATTACAATCCGGCTTAACTGCAGTCTAGGGGGAACCATATCCGGGTGACCTCTTTAACCTGAATACAACCAGTTTACTTGCTTTGTTAGTTTGTTAGTTAGACTTGCATTCCAGTTTCATTGCTAGATAACAAGAATTCACTGAGTAGTCATCAGATCTAGGACCCGGGTTGACATATAAACCTAAACCCGCTATACTACGCTTTAGGGAGTGGTTGCACTTGGCCAATTCCTAGGGTGACAGTAGAGTCGAGTCAGAACACCCAACACGTAATAGGAAGTTATAAAAACTTATCGAACTTAGTTATGTACCTCCACTCTCAAAGATCCCCAGTGGAGTCGCCAGCTGTCGCAACCGTCCCTCCGGGGGGTCCGAAGTCGTCGCGTTGGCATATTTGGGAGTCGCCATCGATCTTACTTGGAGTGGATCGAACACTCTTTGGCCGGTTCTAACCTTAGGGTCAGAACCGAGACATGGTCTGCGAAAATAAAGTTCCGGGTTCAGGAGTACGGTTACGTGTGGGGAAGTTAAGCAACACCCCCACAACGCCCTAAATCGGTACTACCTGATAAGTTTGTACGAGTTGGGTGTATTTTAGAAAATATGTATTTTTGGGATCCCACTGGACCATTAAATGATTTTATCGTATCAGTTGTAATTTAATTATACGTCCACTGACGTACAATTTAAAGATAAAGTTAATTGGTTAATTGGACTCGAACCTTATCGGTTGCCTACGTACCCGTAATACGGGAACAAAGTTCACGTAGTTCGTTGGAACTTTGATAATTTTAATAATAACTTTTACCACGTTCCACTGAACGTAATTTTTGTATTAAATATTTTGTTATACTAAAATTTAGATTATTATGATGTTACTAAAATAAATGCAAGGATTTTAATTATTAAGAAGAAATTTGATGTATTAGAAAAGGAACAAGTGATCGGCCGTAACTAACACAGGAAAAATAGGCAAGGGTACATATCGTTCTACGGTAGTATAGCAGGAAGCAAGGTCGTATCCACAGAGACTTCGTGTACTAGTACTCAGCTTTTACCTATTATCTAGTCAATCGTTTTTAGTTGATTTTCGTTTAGAAATAAAAACACACGCAATAATAAAAATACAATAAAGTAGTTTTCAAAGTAAAATCAAGTGGAGAAGGCGTTGTCCCGGAAGTGAATCCCCCTAATATGCATTTTACAGACAAGTTGAATTTAACATAGACGAGTGTTAATATCTTAGACCGTGAAAATTCCCAATTTAGTGTTAACCCGTTCGCACATGTATTAACACCCTTTTGACTTAAGAATCAAGTGAAACCGTGGCTTACAAAAATCTTAAACCAAAGCAATAACCAGATTTATAAATTTTCGTACAAGGTTTTAAACCTAATCCGGAGGAACTACGTGACCCCATCGCCGGTGGCTCCGATCAATTCCTTCTTTTCACGAGGGATCTAACATGCAAAATTACCTCGCAGTCTCATTTACATGTATGAGACAAAATATATAATAGACGCGTACTATTGATACTTGCACATGATAAGTCGAGAAAAGATCGTAAGAACGAGAACAACACGTCTATATCAAAGATACCACTCAATCAATGTAAAACATATTAGGGTTCATCAAATCCGGAACAACTAGAAGATTAGCCGGACATGATGAGATTTAGAAATATGAAGGTTGAGAACATTACCATGATGATGATGACGATGAAGACGGAGGGGTTGAAAATACGGTATGTATATTGAGTTAATAGATTACACCTAGCAAACTTCCGACGGGGGAATAATCGTTGGGCGAAGACGGTGGAAACCGACCAATCTACCACCACAAATGATTATCATAACCCCACAGAATAGAAGCTCACTTCGGTATTCTCAATAACGCAATATACCACGGTATTCCCAAATACGAACACAAACAAAAGAACCACGATGGATGAAATACGAGATATGATTAACGAAATGAAAAGAAGTAACAAGAGTTTGGAATGAAAATCGACAGAGTTTCGGCTAACTTCAAATACAAGAAAGGGAGACCAAAATATATCTAGTGTGTGTGTCCTCTCCCTCTATTTATAGTACAAATTGAGCTACTTGCTTGAGCTACTTGCTTGCGAGCTACTTGCTTGTAATAAATGGACCAGCTGCTTGCTTGTCTCTCGACCGCTTTGATAATGGCCAGCTGCTTGCTTTCATTCTTGGATGAGGCAGCTACTTGCTTTCAAATAATGTACGAGCTTGCTTTCAGTTATGGACGAGCTATAATGGACGTGCGTGCTTCATTATTTGGACGTGCTTGTTTGTACATTTGATTCTCCAGCTTGCTTCCATTAAATTGACCTGGTAGCTTGCTCCCACTTAACGTGATTTGCACCAGCTACTAGCTTCAGCTACGATCGAGGGACGAAGGCAAGGGAGGAGGAGCTGCTTCCTTAGGACGTCGATGCAGCTGCTTGCTTCCCGAAAAATGGACCTGCTTGCTCCTACGTATGGACCAGCCTGCTTCCCAAGTAATTGACCATCTAGTTTTTAATTTTGGGACCAACTTGCTTCTTCATTTGACACCAACCATCCTCCAGCTGCTTGCTTCTTTATTTGGACGTGAGCCACTAGCTACAGCTACTAGCTTCCCTTGAGAATCCCAAATGAACCAGCTTTCCTTATGTTTTGCAGTTTGCGGTTTGACTCTGCAGTTTGCGGTTTGACTCTCTTTCCGTGATCATCACCATAATAAACGATGGGTTTCGTATATTGATAACAAAAGGGGACGCGGCTGAAGTGATACGGCTCTTTGCCCTCGTCTGGGACGTCGCGGGCTCGAGTTCCACCGACGCCAGATTTCGAACCCTACCATCTTTTTGTTGAATTGACTCATTATTCCGTTCTTATTGGATAGAATACCCTGAAACATGACTCAAACACAAAACCAAGCATAAAATCGGGAAATCGAATGAACTTGGTACAATTTATGTTATTTTAGGATGTAAAAGTGTAGGCGAATATATGTATAATTTAGGTGTTATCAAATTCCCCCACACTTAATCCTTTGCTTGCCCTCAAGCAAAGCACGAAAAATGTAAGTTCAATCAAAACCAATTTCACAAGAACTCTAACCGTGAGTTGGGAAAATGTGAATTTCATATGATTGCTAAAGATGGTGCAATAGGTAGCGAGTTATGGATGCGTTCAACCACCAAAAACAACATTTGATCGTAATACTCCTGTGACATTGGCAACTCTGACTCAGATTTATAAGAACATTCTTCTATCTTTATTAGTCATTCGACACAATCAATTGTTTAAGCATAAGGTTCACAAAACATAGCATGAGAGATCGAGCCAATAGATCTTACTTGGGATTTACAACTTGGAAAGTCTCTCTCACTCGACCTGTGGGGTCAGGGTAAATGCACGTAGCATGTAATTATCACTCTTTCCGTACCATCTCTCTCCCATGAGCTTATTGTTCGAGTCTCCAAAGTTGTGTCGCCACTGACTTGTCAAGTAGGTCTTTGATCGGGTGTCAAATGGGGTTAGGGGTACGGACATGTGGAAGTACTTTTGATCTGGTGGTAAGTTCAAGGTTCCAAATTTTTTTTTTCCAAAAACCATGACTTTTCTGCTTATCTTTGTAAGATTAAAATGTAGCCAATATGGCTTTTGAAGAATGACTCCTATTTATCATAAGTGCATGAAAGATGGTGGCCAACTGATCACTTTTTTTTTTCTTCTTTTTTTTTCTTTGTTCATTTTTTTTACGAGTGGCCAACAATTCCATTTTTGAAAAATGCACTTACAGAAATCGTTTCTCCCTATCTCAACTTTTGTATTTAATAAATGAAGCAGAAAGTCATTCGTTTAAACCATTCACACGGAACCTTGAAAAAGGGTTCAAAATGAATTGAGGCTTGAAGAACAGGGATTGGTTTAAAACAGGTTGTCACCGAACAAAAAGGCTCGTCTCAACGGGGTTTGACTAAGGGATATGATGTTCAGGGTAGTCATTTTGATTGTAGGGGTAGAACCTATTGCCTCCGTCATCCTTGTCAGTGGTGTCACGACTCAAACATGTATAAATCAAGCATATCATCATGCACAGAGAGGGATCTAACACACAAGAAAGAAACGATCATGCTCAAGTCTCACGTGGTTTACTATATGCTCAGTTTCCCATGCTATGCTTCCCAAAAATTATGCAACAACAATCAAAGATGATAAATTTCTTTTTCAAGATTTCAGATAGTTCTTTCTATCAAAGAATGAGTAGCACGAGAAACATTTGTTTTAATCCCTCAGTCGTCATTATAGGTTGACATGGATCCAAATCGCACTATTCTTGTACCAATTTTAGACAAAGATGTGACTCAAAACAAAACACTCTTTTTAGTATTTATTTGAAAAAAAAATTTAAATTTTATGATTTTTCAAACTTTTTTTTTATGGATGATGAGATTATTGAAAACAATCACAATGATTCTTTGTCAAAACACATGAAAACGAACGAATATACCCCCCAGACTTGAATTGGACATTGTCCTCAATGGACGAAAATATAGGGAGTAAGGATTCGAACTGTTACCATTTTCCTTGTCATGGGATATAGTGGCATGATGTTCGATGATTGTGGTTCCACTTGGCGAGTTCTTTGGTCGATGTTTCATGGCAATTTTTATTCTTGAAATTGAAAAACTCAAATAAAAATAAAATAAAAGAAAGGGAAGGAAAATGCAAACCGACATTGGGTTGCCTCCCAATAGCGCTTCTTTAATGTCATATTAGCTGGACTGTAGTGTACTTTGTCAAGGTTTTTGAAGATGAAGTGCCTCGGCATTGGGGTCGAAATTGCCACCGAGGTATGGTTTCAGACGATGACCGTTGACTTTGAAAGTTCCCCTTTCGGGATGCGAAATTTCAACTACGCCGTAGGGAAATACTTGTGTGATCACATAAGGACCGGTCAATCTGGACTTGAGCTTCCCAGGAAACAAGCGAAGACGAGAGTTGTATAGCAAGACTTGATCTCCAACGTGGAAGTTTTTGTCATGCTTTATCTTGGAATCGTGGAGTCGTTTCGTTCGGTCCTTGTATAACTTGGCGTTTTCATAGGTTTGTAGGCGCATTTCGTCAAGCTCATTGATTTGGGCCTGAAGATGGTCCTTGGTAGCATCTCCGTCGAGGTTAAGGTATTTGAGCGCCCAGTAAGCTTTGTGTTCCAACTCGACGGGGAGGTGACAGGCTTTGCCATACACCAACCGATATGGTGAGGTGCCGATTGGTGTTTTGTATGTCGTACGGTAAGCCCATAGTGCAGTGTCGAGCTTTGTTGCCCAGTCCTTTCTTGATTGACTGACTGTTTTCTCCAATATCCTTTTGAGCTCACGGTTGGTGACCTCCACCTGACCACTAGTTTGAGGATGGTACGCTGTGGAGACCCGGTGAGTTACATCAAATCGTTGGAGAACTTTGTCGAATTGACCTTGGAAATGGGTTCCTTGGTCGCTGTTGATTGCTCGCGGTGATCCAAACATGGAAAACAGTTTCTACAAAAACTTTCCAACACTTCGAGAGTCATTAGTTGGCAAGGCTTGTGCCTCGGCCCACTTGGATACATAATCCACTGCCACGAGTATGTATTTGTTCCCGAATGAGGTCGGGAAAGGTCCCATGAAGTCAATTCCCCAAATATCAAATATTTCACAAACAATGGATATTGTTTGTGGCATTTCATCACGTTGGGAAATATTACCTGACCGTTGACACGCATCACAGGTGCGTACATATGCATCACAATCTTTGAAGATTGTTGGCCAATAAAATCCACATTCCAATACCTTTCGCGCTGTGCGGTTGGCTCCGTGGTGTCCTCCGGTCGGACCTTGGTGGCAATGAGAAATTATGCTCCATGCTTCGGGTTGCGGGATGCATCGGCGGATGATACAATCTGCATAGACTTTAAACATATATGGTTCTTCCCAAAAATAAGATTTAAGGTCAGAAAAGAATTTCTTCTTTTGTTGGTACGAGAGCCCAGTTGGTAGAGTCTTTCCCACCAAGTAATTGGCAAAATCCGCATACCATGGGGTGTCAAGTTCAACTCTTCCTACTGTGTAGGGTCGTTCATACGGAAATGTTTCATTGATTTCATCCGAAACATCATCTTTTGGATTTTCCAGTCGGGAAAGGTGATCTGCTGCCAAATTTTCTTCGCCTTTTTTATCTCAAATTTCGATGTCGAATTCTTGGAGAAGAACAATCCATTGAATCATACGAGTTTTAGCATCTGTCTTGTTCATTAAATACTTCAAAGCAGAGTGATTAGTAAAAACAACGCATCGTGATAAAACTAGGTATGATCTGAACTTATCAAATGCAAACACCACAGCTAGTAATTCCTTTTCAGTTGTTGTATAATTTTCTTGAGCATCATTTAAGGTTTTACTTGCATAGGAAATTGGTTTGAAATGTTTGTCATACCTTTGGTCGAGGACAGCTCCTACGGCGTAGTCAGATGCATCACACATGAGTTTGAACAGGAGGCTCCAGTCGGGACCCACCATAATCGGGGCGTGGGTCAGTTTGTGCTTTAGTGCCGCAAATGCGTCGTTGCATTCCACCGTAAAGTCAAATGGAGCATCCTTCTCGAGAAGCTTTGTCAATGGTCGAGCAATTTTGGAGAAGTCTTTGATGAAGCGTCGATAGAAGCCGGCATGCCCCAGAAAACTCCTTATTGCTTTCACATTGACTGGTGGTGGAAGGTTGGAGATGACGTCAATTTTGGCTCGATCAACCTCGATGCCTTGTGATGAAATTTTTTGTCCAAGGACAATGCCCTCGGTCACCATAAAGTGGCATTTCTCCCAATTGAGAGCGAGATTCGTCTCTTCGCATCGGATTAGAACTTTTTCAAGGTTGTGGAGGCATTTGTCGAAGGAATCTCCGAATATCGAGAAGTCATCCATGAAGACTTCCATGATATCTCTTACCAACTCGTCAAAGATGGCAATCATACACCGTTGAAAGGTTGCTGGTGCATTGCACAATCCGAAAGGAATGCGCCGATACGCAAAAGTGTCGTACGGACAAGTGAATATGGTTTTCTCTTGATCTTCTGGTGAGATGGGAATCTGAAAGTAGCCAGACATCCCATCGAGGAAGCAATAGTAATTGTGGCCGGCCAATCGCTCGAGCATTTGATCAATGAATGGGAGTGGGAAGTGATCTTTTCTGGTGGCATCATTCAGGCGACGATAGTTGATGCAGACTCTCCAACCGGTGACTGTTCTGGTGGGGATAAGCTCATTCTTTTCATTGGTGATGACGGTCATCCCGCCTTTTTTCGGGACTACCTGGACAGGGCTCACCCATGAACTGTCAGAGATGGGGTAAATTACTCCAGCATCGAGTAACTTGATCACCTCAGCTTTCACTACTTCCTTCATGTTCGGATTGAGTCGACGTTGGGGCTGGACCACCGGCTTATAGTCATCCTCCATCAGAATTTTGTGCGTACAAAATGAGGGATTGATTCCTCGAATGTCGGAGATCTTCCAAGCCAAGGCTCGTTCATGACTTTTCAGTAGTTTGATCAATCTCCCCTTCTGCTCCTCAGTTAGGGCCGCGTTGATGATGACGGGGAGCTTGGAGTTCTCTCGAAGGAAAGCATACTCGAGGTGGTTTGGTAACTGCTTCAGTTTGAGAGTTGGTGGTTCTTCGATGGAGGACTTGATTTTCTCCGATTTAGGGAGTTCTGCCACCTTCTCTTCCTGCTCCAACTCTTCGGATTCCTCCAATAGTGCAGCATGCTCAATTTGTTGGACAGATCCTGTTGTTTCCTGTCCTTGAGTAAGGCAAAGCTGTAAAGCATCTGAATGAAGAATCTCAGAAACAAAGTTAGCAGTCTCAGCATCAATTATATCCGAACAAAAATTGGCATCATCATTTTCACGAGCATATTTCATGCTTTATGGAATTTTGAATGTCATTTGTTCTTGCCCTACTCTCAAAATCAATTTTCCATCATTCACATCAATTAGAGCCTTTGCAGTTGCAAGAAACGGTCTACCAAGAATTAATGACACATCGACATCCTCATCAATATCTAGGATCACAAAATCGACTGGGAATATGAATGAGCCAATTTTAACAATTAAATCTTCTATGATTCCCCTAGGATGCACTATGGAACGATCAGCCAACTGGATGCTCATTCGTATAGGATTAGGTTAACCTAGCCCTAAACGTTTAAACATTTTATATGGCATAACATTTATACTTGCTCCAAGGTCAGCTAAAGATTTATCAATATACACAGAACCAATTAAGCAAGGTATAGTAAAACTCCCTGGGTCTTTTCGTTTCTCCGGAAGCTTGTTTTGGAGGATGGCCGAACATTCCTCATTCAGCATCACTGTTGACAGATCCTCCAATTTTCGCTTGTTGGTGAGGATTTCTTTCAGGAAGCGAGCATACTTTGGCATTTGAAACATGGCCTCCACAAATGGGATGTTAACGTAAATTTGCTTCAGGAGGTCCAGGAATTTGCCGAAGTGTGCGTCAAGGCGGTCCTTGTGGATTCGTCATGGGAATGGAATTTTCGGCTTGTATTCTGGCACCACGAGCTTTTGGGGCTGAGTGGTGTCCGCATCTTTTTCTGGATTTGTATCTTTGTCGGTTTGAAGGGAGTTGCTTGGTTGCAACTTTTTGCCGCTCCGGAGTGAGATGGCCTTCAAATGTTGCTTCTGCTTCGGATTGATTTCGGTGTCGCTCGGCAGGCTGCCTTGATTCCTCTCAGAAAGCAGCTTGGCTATTTTCCCAACTTGTGTTTCCAAATTATGCACAGAAGCTTGAAGATGTCGTTGGCCCGCTTCGAGGTTTTGGAATCGATCCTCGGAGACGGAAATGTATTTGTCTAAAGCTTGGAATTTGGAGTCGGAGATGGAGATGAACTTGCCAATCATATCTTCAAGACTAGATTTCTTTTCTTGTGGTGGCAGTTGTTGATGGTGCTGATTGGAATTGCTTGATGATGCTTGATTAAATCCGGGTGGAGCTCGTTGATTCCCTTGGTTGGACCAAGAGAAGTTTGGATGGTTTCGCCATCCTGGATTGTATGTGCCTCTATATGGATTTACGCTCCTCTGAGGATTGTTGATATAATCAACATGCTCGGTGGTAGATGTTGAGCAGATCAACTTGCACTCGGTAGTGTTGTGGTCATCAGGACACCATTCGCACTTGAACACCTTGCCGGATATAGTGAGCTGGTCGAACTTTTTGTTGAGGTTTTCAACTGGTGTGGCGAAGGCTGTGACTGGGTCGACTTGGTGTAGTCCAGCACTTCTGGTTGGCTGTGGTCGGCACTTGTTTCGGGGGGAATACCATTCATAGCTATTCATTGCCATGTCTTCGATTAGCTGCTCTACTTGGGGAGGTGTTTTGTTGTTGATGGTGCCACCCCCTGCTGCATCAATTGATTGTTTCGTCTCTGGATTTAGCCCATTGTAGAAGGTTTGCATTTGCAGCCAATGGGGAATGCCGTGATGAGGGCATCTCCTGAGAGTGTTCTTGAATCTCTCCCAAGTTTCGTAGAGAGTTTCAGAGTCTTCTTGGCGGTAGGCGGCGATGTCGTTCCTCAGCTTCGCCGTCTTGCTTGGTGGGAAATATTTGGCTAAGAATTTTTCAGCCAACCCGTCACACGTCGTGATGGAATTCCGTGGTTGACCGTCAAGCCACTCCCGTGCTCTGTTGTCTAGAGAGAACGGGAACAGTCGAAGACGAATAGCATCGATGGATGCACCATTGATTTTGATGGTGTCACAGAGCTCCAGAAACTTCTTGATATGAGTGTTGGGATCTTCGTCGGGCATCCCATTGAATTGCACCCGATTTTGGATCATTTGTAGCATCCCAGTTTTGATTTCGAAGTTGTTGGCTTCGATATTGGGCCTTCGGATGCTTGAGTGAGTTCCGTCCAAGTTAGGACGGGCATAATCAGACATTGTCCGATTGTTCACTTCGGCGTGTTCTTCCGCCATTGTGTGTGGCTGCACTTATTGCTCTCTCCTTCGTTGACGAAGAGTTCTCTCGATCTCGGGATCAAGGTCGATCAGTCCAAGTGGGTGGTTTCGGGTCATGCACTATTTCAAGCGCAAAAACAAGAACAACCCGTGAAAGCAACAAGTGTGATATAACAAGAAAAATAAAGCGACTAAATTAATAGTTCAAAGCTTTTTCTAATAACTTAGTCCTCGACAACGGCGCCAAAAACTTGATCGCCCGTAACTAACACAGGAAAAATAGGCAAGGGTACCTATCGTTCTACGGTAGTATAGCAGGAAGCAAGGTCGTATCCACAGAGACTTCGTGTACTAGTACTCAGCTTTTACCTATTATCTAGTCAATCGTTTTTAGTTGATTTTCGTTTAGAAATAAAAACACACGCAATAATAAAAATACAATAAAGTAGTTTTCAAAGTAAAATCAAGTGGAGAAGGCGTTGTCCCGGAAGTAAATCCCCCTAATATGCATTTTACAGACAAGTTGAATTTAACATAGACGAGTGTTAATATCTTAGACCGTGAAAATTCCCAATTTAGTGTTAACCCGTTCGCACATGTATTAACACCCTTTCGACTTAAGAATCAAGTGAAACCGTGGCTTACAAAAATCTTAAAACAAAGCAATAACCAGATTTATGAATTTTCGTACAAGGTTTTTAACCTAATCCGGAGGAACTACGTGACCCCATCGCCGGTGGCTCCGATCAATTCCTTCTTTTCACGAGGGATCTAACATGCAAAATTACCTCGCATTCTCATTTACATGTATCAGACAAAATATACAATAGACGCGTACTATTGATACTTGCACATGATAAGTCCAGAAAAGATCGTAAGAACGAGAACAACACGTCTATATCAAAGATACCACTCAATCAATGTAAAACATATTAGGGATCATCAAATCCGGAACAACTAGAAGATTAGCCGGACATGATGAGATTTAGAAAGATGAAGGTTGAGAACATTACCATGATGATGACGACGACGAAGACGGAGGGGTTGAGAATACGGTATGTATATTGAGTTAATAGATTACACCTAGCAAACTTTCGACGGGGGAATAATCGTTGGGCGAAGACGGTGGAAACCGACCAATCTACCACCACAAATGATTATCATAACCCCGCAGAATAGAAGCTCACTTCGGTAATCTCAATAACGCAATATACCATGGTATTCCCAAATACGAACACAAACATAAGAACCACGATGGATGAAATACGAGATATGATTAACGAAATGAAAAGAAGTAACAAGAGTTTGGAATGAAAATCGACAGAGTTTCGGCTAACTTCAAATACAAGAAAGGGAGAACAAAATATATCTAGTGTGTGTGTCCTCTCCCTTAGGGGTGGGAAACGGGACGGGACGGGATACCCGTCCCGTTTTAAAAGGGTACCCAGTCCCATTTGGAGACCAAAGTCCATCCCATATCCCAAACCCATATGGGAAACGGGTACCCATTACCCGTACGGGACGGATAACGGGTACCCATACTACCCATAAATACCCAAAGTTTAAATGACATTTTACCTAAAGACAATTAGTCAATTACATCCAAAGCATTCATTTCAAAACACAAATTGGCTGCACAAGTAGCAACTTACACCAATTCCTACAACCCAAAGAAGGGATGATGATGAAGATGAAAAGGAATCAAGGAAGGGGAAAGGACCAAATAATAAAACCCAGAAAGAGAACAAGTTCTGCTTCCTGGAAAGTGCAACTTACCCGCGAAGACGACTCCTCCAGCCAGGGACAAGACACAAGACAGAGACAGACCTTTCCAAATTCCAGAGAAGTTGCCGCCTGCCGTCGCGTGTCTCGCGTCTTCTAGAGCCTAGGGGTGCGTCAGCGTCTCAACTCTCACGGGCTGAATTAAATGGATTTTGTAATTTTAATGGATTTTGAATTGGGTTGGGCCTGGGCGCATGGGCTGAATTATATGTCTTTGTAATTTGAATGGGTACAACGGGTACCCATATTACCCAAATGGGTATTTGCGGGTACCCATATTAGGACTGTACAATCCCAAGTCCCATCCGTTTAAAATATTACGGGTAATATGGGTACCCGTAACCCTTAAAAAACAGGACGGGTACGGGTATACCCAAATACCCGTTTCCCGTTGCCCACCCCTACTCTCCCTCTATTTATAGTACAAATTGAGCTACTTGCTTGAGCTACTTGCAGGCCAGCTACTTGCTTGTAATAAATGGACCAGCTGCTTGCTTGTCTCTCGACCGCTTTGATAATGGCCAGCTGCTTGCTTTCATTATGGACGAAGCAGCTACTTGCTTTCAAATAATGTACGAGCTTGATTTCAGTTATGGACAAGCTATAATGGACGTGTTTGCTTCATTATTTGGACGAGCTTGCTTGTCCATTTAATTCTCCAACTTGCTTCCATTAAATTGACCTGGTAGCTTGCTCCCACTTAACGTGATTTGCACCAGCTACTAGCTTCAGCTACGATCGAGCGACGAAGGCAAGCGAGGAGGAGCTGCTTGCTAAGGACGTCGATGCAGCTGCTTGCTTCCCGAATAATGGACCTGCTTGCTCCTACGTATGGACCAGCCTGCTTCCCAAGTAATTGACCAGCTAGCTTCTATTTTTGGGACCAACTTGCTTCTTCATTTGACACCAACCATCCTCCAGCTGCTTGCTTCTTTATTTGGACGTGAGCCACTAGCTACAGCTACTAGCTTCCCTTGAGAATCCCAAAATGAACCAGCTTTCCTTATGTTTGGCAGTTTGCGGTTTGACTCTGCAGTTTGCGGTTTGACTCTCTTTCCATGATCATCACCATAATAAACGATGGGTTTCGTATATTGATAACAAAAGGGGACGCGGCTGAAGTGGTACGACTCTTTGCCCTCGCCTGGGACGTCGCGGGCTCGAGTTCCACCGACGCCAGATTTCGAACCCTAACCATCTTTTTGTTGAATTGACTCATTATTCCGTTCTTATTGGATAGAATACCCTGAAACATGACTCAAACACAAAACCAAGCATAAAATCGGGAAATCGAATGAACTTGGTACAATTTATGTTATTTTAGGATGTAAAAGTGTAGGCGAATATATGTATAATTTAGGTGTTATCAACAAGATAAACTTAATCCGCATTCAACATTTCGTATTAAGGATTTTAAAATAAATAAAATTGAATGGGATGATTACATCTACGAATGATGGGCCAACAACTCAACTGGTTAAAGAGGCAGTCCTAGATCATGTTCGACCACGAGGATGTGGGTTTGAATCCCGCAGCCTGCAATATTTCAATGATTCTCGTTTTGGTGCAGCGAACGGGGAAGGGTATTTTGGTGATTACACAAAAACGCGGTGGCAGGGCATTTGATTTCAGCGAAACACATAGGGGTAATCTAGTCTTTTGGAAACATGTATAAACGTCTTAAACTGAAAAAAAGGAAACCCTAACCCTAATAGATCAAATAGGGCACCGATTACCTCCCTCTCTCTCTCTCTATCACGGCTCTCTCTTCTCCAAAGAACCAAAAAAATGCTGACCTCTTCTCTCTCTCATTTTTTCCTTCTCGATTCGTCTCCTCTTCCTACCAAGAAAACTAAATCGAACCCTAGCCACCTCTCGCCAAACAAACACCGCCATCTCCTCTCTTGTTATTTTCTCACCGTCGTCTCCACGACAAACAACACGAAATGCAAATCTCCTAACACGATTCTCTTCTTCTTATTTCTGGTAATGTCGAAGATAAGAGGAAGGGCGTCGTCAGCGGCTAAGTTAAAGGTTCGTTTTTTTTGTTTTTTGTTTTTGCATGTGCGATATTTACTATTTTCATATCTGATTTTGAGGTTTTAGAGTTCTTATTCCTATTTTTTGATTCATTTTTGGAAATTCAACCCGGAGTCGAGAGGAGTTCCCCATCTGTTTTCTTAATTAGGACGGCGACGACGGCAACCTTACGACTATGGTGAGTAGCAATTTAGCTTGCATGTTTCGATTTCTATTTTTTGTTATTGATTTCAGGTTCTGATTTATGTTTGTTTATGTGTTTAGGTTTGGATTGGGTCGGATCTTGAAGAAAGAAATAAAAAAAAGGTAAGCCGCCACCGCCGCCGGGAAATAGCGGTTGCCGACCCTCTCTTAGGTGGGTTTATTTTTCCTCTGGTTTTTAGTTTGAATATTTACTTATACTGTGTTCTGACTCTATTTCTTCCTTCTGCATATTCGAATGCCTAGAGATTTAGGTGAGGTCTCCTAACTCTGATTAGTTTAACTAGGGAGGTTAACATAAAAAATCTAGTTTGTTCGTATATCCGAGTTTATGGGAAATGGTTTTGGAATTTTAGGCTATAATGGTGATATTTTATTGTCTGCTAACCTGAGTTTGGTTTCGGTAAATATTGGATTTTAGATTCGATGGGCTAAAGTCTAAAATCATACTATGCGGTTTTGATTGTATTTAGTTTAAAGCTGTGAAACTTAAGTATATTTCTCTCGCATGATCTAAGTAGTAAAAGGAATTAATTTTCTGTAATGAAAATGGTAACCGCCACTGTTGACATCTATAAATCGCTGCAACTGCTTGCGATTTTCGTTAGACTAATGGTTGGTTTGTGGGTTTTCGAAATCTGAAATTTATTGTGTTGATCTCGTTGGAGTGTTAATTTTGTTTCTTAGTTAAAAGGGAAAATATATATGGCATAAATACTAGATCTATGGAAAGTGATTAATCACTATAAACGGAGAGCAAGTAAGATAACGTAAAAAAACGAGTAGATAAATTTAAACGAAATACTATACTGTGTGGTGTGTATAATTGATAGAGCAATAATTACACATGTTTTTACCCCTATTTTTGAGCCGTTTGAGATATTGATTCTCGTGTTTTAGGCCGATTTCACGCTAGGCTATGCTTGTTTGTGATATTTCAGGTCCTGGTACGTGAATGA